GGGAATTGGGAGCCCAGTCTCCATTCCCCAGCTGGAGATACAGCAGGGAATTGGGAGCCCAGTCTCCATTCCCCAGCGGCAGAGTGTCCTACCGGGAATAGAGAGCCCAGTCTCCTTTCCCCAGCAGCAGGACACTGTATTGGGAGCGGAGACAGTCGGTCTCCCTCCACAGAGGATGAAAGTATGTATGGGAGAGGAGCTTGCTACCACCTCCCCCCAGCGGCGGATCATTAATGGGCAGGGAATAGAGAGCTCAGTCTCCTTTCCCCAGCGGCAGAGTGTTCTATCGGGAGAGGAGCCTGTTACCCCCTCTCCCCAGCGACAGCTTAGAGTATCCAAAGGGGAGACAGTCGGTCTCCCCCTCCGGCAGCAGAGCTGTGCAACAAAAAGGGAGACAGTTGGTCTCCAGCAGCAGAGCGGTGTATCTAAAGGGGAGACAGTCGGTCTCCCCCTCCAACAACCAGGCTTCAACCAGGCTACCCTCCAGTAGCTGGCAACAGGGCAGAGTGCCGCTGGTCTGCTCATCGCGCAGCAACCCACCCAGTCAGCGCATTCACTCCAGCACAGTTGTGGTGAGGCACCTGGACATGGACAAGCTTCCTTACCCAGGTGTAGTAACCATTTATTGTGGGTGGGCTGTGCTGTGGATTATTTGTTGTGGGTGGGCTGCTGGACTAACAAGGGCACTGACCGGCAGGAGGTCAGATACCCTGTTAGTCTGTTTGAAAAAGGGGAGAGATGTGACGAGACCAATCTCGCCACATTGCATTGGAGAAGCCTGGTTGCTCGCCTGCTGCCTTTGGACTATGGCCCCTGTTAAAAGACATCTTTTTTACCTGCAGAAAAGCTTCATTCGTGCTTTTCTGCCTGGGGTTCGGTAGATTTGTTTGAATGTGTTATACCCCAGATAGGAATCCCATGGAGCCCATTCGTATGAAACTGACTGTAAAGATACAGTCTTTGGCTCCATGGCGATTAAACTGTATTCGGTCTGAGCCATTCGCTAATAATGTGCGCCGGACCTGAGCTATCTGGGGATATGTTACATGTCTGTGTTTTATGTAATAAATGTGACTTATGTATTTTAAAGTGTTTTGTGTCTTTTGAGTCTTGTGTCTGTCCTGGAGATAATTGAATTACTCTCCAGGATAGAAGACTCTGAAACTGGTTTGGGCCAGAAAGCCATGCTTCATTTAGTCACAAAGGACTTTTACTAACTTTGAACCCCTGGTCTGATTCATGTCATTTTTTAATATGTTGTTCCCCTGAATGGATTGATTGCGAAAATGTAATTTTATGTGAATGTGATGTATGGTTTTAAAGTTATGAAAGTTGGGTAGAAAGTATGTTTTAACTGTATGTGTAATTGAGTTTCCTCTCAGGATAAGGGTAGGGAATATGTGGGATGTAACTGTGATGTGATTGGTTGTTTTATACCTCCCTGTGGGCGGTCCTGTATTTGCAAGACTGTAATAAAAACCAGGCTGGGTGTGCCAGCACCTCAGACCACTGCTTGACCCTTAACACGGAGCCTTGTCTCGTTCTTGGGGGATTCACTGTATGCTGTTAGAGACTGATTGCCAGGAGTGTAAGCTGTCTGCTTTTCCTGTTCGTCTGCTAGCAGCTATTTGGGAGGTTCCAGTTCGGGAGTTGGAGTGCTATTTTGTATCCAGTTTGGGAGTTTGATGTTCTGCAGTAGCTGTGCCTGTATCTCTGGAAAGGGGGCCGATCGCCTAAACGTTTTTTTCCCCTTTTGTGCAAAACGGTCCGTTACATCCCTACCCCTTAACCCCAAACCAAGCCCACAGTCATGGGGAAAAAACGGACACGGACACGGAACAAGGTCGCAAGAGAATTTGGGGGAATTTTAAAAGACAAAATTACCAGATATGCTTTTGACTGTATAATACATGTTTGAGATCCACGCACTATAACTGCTTACCCACACTTCTTCCTTTCTGTACCCCAAATTGTGTTCTTTGATAAAATAAAAATTGTCAAATTGAAAAAAAAATACATGTACTGAGAGCTTTAAGGGTTTCTGCCAAAGAACACCCCAATATGTGTTCAGCAACATCTCCTGAGTACAGCAGTGCCCCCAATGTATGGGTTGTATGTAGTTTTTGCAAACTTACAGGGGTCAAATGTAGGGCCTAATGTTTGCAGATTTAAATTTGCCAGATTACACACACACAGACAGCAATACATACAGACAGCCATACACACAGACAGCCATACATACACAGCCAGCCATACACACACACACACACACACAGACAGCCATATACACACACAGCCAGCCACACACACACAGACAGCAATACACACAGACAGCCATACACACACATACAGCCATACACACACACACACACAGACAGCCATATACACACACAGACAGCCATATACACAAACAGACAGCCATACACACACACACACAGACAGCCATGCACACACAGAGACAGCAATACACACACAGAGACAGCCAAACACACATTTCTCCCCCATCACATTTAAAAAAATATATTTTAATTTAAATCCACCCAGTCTCCCTACCTTTGGGAGAGCTGGGTGGATTTCTTACCTGGTGTCTAGTGGGGCTGCTGGGCAGGTGTACATTCAAGCAGGCAGGGGGCGAACAGGCAGTGAGGGAGCATTAATTTTGAGCTCTCCCTGCTCAGCTCCCTTGTGCACCGCAGAGTGATGCTGGAAGCCGGAATGTGATTCTGGCTCCCGGATTCACTGCGGGAAGCTGAGCAGGGAGAGCTTACACTCAGTGCTCCCTCGCCATGGCCTGCGGGCCGCTAACATATTAGTTGTGGGCCGCATGCAGCCCGTGGGCCGTGAGTTTTACATCCATGGGTTAGAGGAATCGAGCTGGAGTGACTGTCCGGCAGTGTCATGATTTACAGGTGTTATAGATTTGTCGTGTCTAATGTCATATCGTGTCTAATGCTCACTATTATAACGGTGGGTATGAGCCTATTTTCGGGCAAGGATTCCCAACTGGTGATGCATGTCCTCAGTGTGATGAACATTCGAATGAGCAATAAAGTGTCATAACTTTATGGGTAACGGGTTACTGTGCTTTAAAAAATGGGTTTTGTTGTGGGTCAGGTGGTGTTAAAATGGGGAAGATTCAAGATGTACTTGTTTTATAAATGCTTGTTTTATGACATAAGTCCAAGGGTGGTTTGTAGTGATTAAACGTATGATTTATGCCATATATAAAGCATAATAATACTAATGCTTTAGAGTCACCACTAGGGGCAGTGTGTAGGCCATTATATGGTTTCCTTAAGTCATGTGCTTCTGGCAGTGATATCATAGGTCAGCTTACTCTATGGAAGCTACCTCCCATAAAACATCGAACTGTGAATAAAAAGCAGAGGTAATCGATATTCTCTCTCTCTCTTTCCCGTGCCCAGAATATTGACTATCAGCTCTCTCTCCATAGCCCCAGCCTTGGCTTATATGTCGGTGTCTGCCCGTGTTTTGTATTGCATTGTACTATAATCCATTGTTACTGCTATCTATTGTTATAATAAAAACCACAGAAAAAAAAGAGTTACCTGCACAGTAGCCCAAGTCCCTGTGCATTTTTACATAAATGGAGGTTTTTTGTTTCACTCCAATTGCCATTAGATGTAAGCCCACCTGCCATGTCAAGGCAAACATCTAATGTGGGTCCTACACTAACAATTTCCATGAATTTAATTGGCCTATTTAACCTTTATATCTGCCTCCTTTCTTTGGCCTTCTGGGTTTCACGGTGGTTTTAAAAATATATATTATGGCTTGTGTTGAAGATAGTAGATACGGTGAGAATCATGATGCCGATGAAGGTGAGAATCACGATGTCAATGAAGGTAGTAGATACGGTGAGTATCATGATGTCGATGAAGGTAGTAGATACGGTGAGAATCATGATGTCGATGAAGATAGTAGATACGGTGAGAATCATGATGCCGATGAAGGTGAGAATCACGATGTCAATGAAGGTAGTAGATACGGTGAGTATCATGATGTCGATGAAGGTAGTAGATACGGTGAGAATCATGATGTCGATGAAGATAGTAGATACGGTGAGAATCATGATGCCGATGAAGGTGAGAATCACGATGTCAATGAAGGTAGTAGATACGGTGAGTATCATGATGTCGATGAAGGTAGTAGATACGGTGAGAATCATGATGTCGATGAAGATAGTAGATACGGTGAGAATCATGATGCCGATGAAGGTGAGAATTATGATGCCGATGAAGGTGAGAATCACGATGTCGATGAAGGTAGTAGATACGGTGAGAATCATGATGTTGATGAATGTAGTAGATACGGTGGGAATCAAGATATCAATGAAGTTAGTAGATACGGTGAGAATCATGATGTCGATGAAGGTGAGACTCATGATGCCGATGAAGGTGAGAATCACAATGTTGATGAAGGTAGTAGATACGGTGAGTATCATGATGTTGATGAATGTAGTAGATACGGTGGGAATCAAGATATCAATGAAGTTAGTAGATATCATGAGATTGATTACGAGTAATATCGGTGCATAGAGTAGTGTATGTGAAGGCGGTGGTTTTGGTGAATGTATTGTGTTGTTAAAGCTACCTGCTTCCTGCTAGAGGTAGTAGGTTCATATAGTTATTGGTGTTGTTCAAAATTATGGTACTTAAGAAGACTTTGGTTTTGGTGTAGTTAATTAGTTTTATTATTGAGAAATTATATTGCATTGGTTCATCTAGAAGTTTTC